AAGGAGATGTGGTGCTTTTTATTCAATCCTCCCCACCCACATATCTATATACCCCTTATATATAATTCTCCTCCTCTCACCGTAGCTCCTTCCTTCAACTTAGTATAACCTTTCACTCATTCATAAAAACAAAAATTGGCTCTCATCAGACCTGCCTCTTTGTCCTTGCAGTTCTACCATTCTTTGGTGACTAGAAACTGTTGTCTCTATTACCTTATATACTCTGTTTATATTGTGAATGCAATCAATTGTTGAGCAGAGTTCTGATGTTACCCTGTAAATAAAGAATTGAAAAAAAAAAGAAAAAGATGCAGTACAGAGAAAGGTTGATTTTAGTATCTTTGAACACAATAGCATTTGCTTCACAAGCTCAAATTAATCATTTGTGAAGATGCAAACAGCTATCAGGATTTAGCTAGTTAGGAAGCCAAGCCAGGTAAAGTCAGCAGATAGGCTTTGCCTCCCCCACCCATTCCCCCCAAGTCAGGAAAAATGTATGTTTAACTGTGGCTTATCTTTAAGAAGTAAATGTTATCTACTGCTGAAAACCACTAATGGCATTTTTGTTTTAACCACCATAGTTATCACATCACCATTTGACTTCATTCTTAAAGGTTAACATGGACAAAAAAATTTGGAACAAGATAGGATATTAACGACTTGGAGTAGCTAAACAAGCCACATAGGTCTCAGATTCGTTAGCAGCAGCACTCAAGAGTCTTACCAGGGTAAAATATCTATTCTGCATTACTAAGTGGTTCCATATCATCATTGCAACAAGAAAGAAGTAGACTTTAACCCACTGAGTAGACTCTTTATTGTCATACATTTACTGGAGTGACTGACAGTGGCAGATTTATATCGAAATGTGTTATCCTCTACTTCTATTCATTAACTGGTGTGCTGTATGATCCTTGCAGCTGTTATTTCCATAATACCTTCAACTGCTCCTTATAGTCATATTTCAAGGCAGCAGGATTTTTCAGTGTTTGACTACTACAACTGCACAAACACACTTGATGGAAAAAAAAAAAAAAAATGAACAATGCCACATATTAAAGAACAGCAAACTATTTCTATACAATGTTTGACATGTAAGGGAGTGGCATGACTTCTTCAATGAAGAACTAGCACATTCTTAGTTGTCTCCATCCTACTCTTCTCCGGTCCGCCACTAGCTCCCCCCTGCCGAGTGCCCCCATAGCAAGCTGCATGCTATCGGGGCACTCATGCATGCTTGTTCCCGAGCCAGCTGTGTTGGTTCGGCCCTGCCCCCTGCTCTCTTCTCACTGGTGATGATTGACAGCAGCAGCAGCCAATGAAGAGACAGAGATGATATTCTCCTGCACAACGCTGATTGAATTTTTTTTACCCTAATATAAAGAATGCATTAAAGACCAAGTTCACCTTTTGAAAAAAAATGCATTTTTTTTGCAGGTAAAAATATGTGTATTTACAATTGTTTTGCGAGGAGCCTGTAAAACAGGGGTATTAAATTAAAATTCACGGAGGCCCAGTCAGTAAAATTTCCTCCAGCAGAGGTCTGAATCACATATTTTATTCTTAATGGCACATCTGAGCATTGGCAAATTCTGCACGTTTTTTTAAGAGCGCTAAACTGCATGGTGCTGCTGCACCATGTGGCTTGATGCAGTGCAATTTAAAAAAGGGTCAGGGACTTATTTCTCTGTGTTTCTACATGTAAGGCAGCCTACTAAAATGAATGTGCTGCCTATAAACAGAAGGCAGGACGCAATGATGTGAACCTAGCCTCAGATCCTTCTCATCACAATCCCATTACTACATCAGTGTTTTCAGTCCCCCTGCATATCACAAGCCCTCTCCTTCACATCAAGATCCTCCCCTTTACATAACATTCCCCCTCTTCACATAATTTCCCTTCACAGCAGTGTCCCTTCTCTGCCCTTTCATATTACCCCCATATTCTCATTCACATTACAGTCCTCACCCCCCTTTCATATTTCTGTCCCTCCTTTATATCACCCTCCTTCACACTGCAGTCCCCAGCCCTTCCCCCTACATATCATTCCCCTTCACATTCCTGTCCTCACCCCCTTTATAGCACACCCCCTTCACATTGCAATCCCCAGCCCCCCTTCATATCACCCTCCCTCACATTCCTGTTCTCGCCCCTCCTTTATATCACCCCAGCCCCCCTTCACATTCCTGTCCTCACCTCCTGTCACATATTTGGTAGAAGTCTGAACTGCTGAGGTCAGCCTCTCTTGTATCTCTAACCCTTGCTCCACTGAAGGTGGAATAGATGGTGCCAAGGGACAGGAAGAACATGAGTGCCTGCAGATGTTGATTGAAGAACTTGTGGCTGGAGGTGTAAACTCGGTAGATCAAGAAGGGCATCCAGTCAGGAACAGAGGAGATGCAGGAACGACCATCCAAGGTTAAAGGAGCACTCCACTGGAACTGCAAGATCTGGGTGCACGGCTTGCTGGAACCTCTAACAGGTGTGAGGCTGGAACACACCGAGACAACTGTAGTTGATATGATAGATATCCAGGGCAAGCACTCAGTGGATCTGTAGAGCCGAACTGGAGCCAGAAGCATAGTCAGGAGGGTAGCCAGGGTCAGCAGCAAGCAGGCGATGAGGTATAGAAACATCAGACAGGAACATGGTCAGGAGTAAGCCAGGATCAGGAAACCAATGGGCAGAAGCATAAATAGGATCCAAAAGCAGGTCAATAGCAAGGTGGACAGGTCAGCAATGGACAACACACAGGATACAAGCAAGACACAAGGAAACTGCTGAAGACCAGTCCGCACTGACAGAGAGTAAGAGCCTTCCTTAAATAGCCCGTCTGGCGCCCAAAACTGTAGGCACACTCCCATGTGCGTGCACTAGTGTGCGCGCATTCTTGCACAAATGCACAAGCCTATGCTCATTTTTATTAGCAATGTTTCTGTGCTTATTTCTATGCGTGAAGTTGTGCGCATGCACATATCTATATGCCAGTAGCCGTACAGGAATTCCATTACACCGCCTTTATATCATCCCCCTTCACACTGCAGTCCCTAGCCCCCTTTACATTGCAGTCCTCAGCCCCTCTTCACATTGCAGTCCCCAGGCCCTCTTCACATTCCTGTTCTCACCTCCTTTATATTACCCCCTTCGAATTGCAGTCCCAAGCCCCCCTTCATATCATCCCCTTTCACATACCTGTCCTCACCTTCTTTTTATCACCCCCTTCGCATTGCAGTCCCCAGCCTCCCTTTACATTGCAGTCCTCAGCCCCCCCTTCACATTGCAGTCACCAGCCCCCCTTCACATTACAGTCCTCAGCGCCCGTCACATTTCTGTTCTATCCCCCTTTATATCACCCCCCCTTCACATTCCTGTCCTCGCCCCCCTTTTATATAACCCCCCTTCATATTGCAGTCCCCAACCCTCTTGATATCACCCCCCCCACATTTCTGTCCTCATCCCCTTTATATACCCGCCCCTTCACATTCCTGTTCTCACCCCCTTTATAATCACCAACCTTCACATTGCAGTTTCTGGTTCCCCTTCATATCACCCCCAGCTTCCCCACCCTGTCCTTCATAGCAGTGACTTAGCCCTTTTCTCTGTCCTACCTTACACAGGGCGCATGCTGGAAGGCACAGTAGGTCTAAAGCTGACATCAAGAGGCAGGACAGTTCTGGTTGGAGGGCTGAAGTTGCACAACTTTTCCTGTTAACCAGCTAGTGAATGATTGAAACTTAGCAAACAATCAGTTAACTGGGACAACTTCTGCCCTCTGTCCAGTGCTGTGCTGCCTCCCAATGTCAGCTCTGTGAAGAAGGCAGTGCTAAAGGCAGCGCTAACGGTAGCTTAGGATAACAACAGGCGGGCTGCTAAATGACTAGACTGCGGTGGGTCTGGATGGGAGAGTGACTTGGTCCAGACCTGAACCACGGTCCGCCATTTAGTGATGCCTGCTGTATAGCATTGCACCCACAATCAGCAGATTGTGGGTGCAATGTCAGGCTCCTGCAGACTCTCAGGACAGCTGTCTGTCTGTATCTCTGATACGGGAAGGCAGTTACTTGAGAGCAGCAAGATCAACGAATTATGAGAACACTCACCAGCGCCCTTGCAGTTCATTGAGAACTACAAACCATCGCCTGCAATGGCTGATGGTACTTGTAGTCTATTCATTCGCAGGAAACTGCAAATAAATGATATGACTAAATGGGCAAAGCCGCACTGTTTTCAAATTGTGACACTGTCACAGGGGAGAAGCGGGTAAATGTTGAACGTGTTACATGTTACCCCCTAACATGAATTTATCCTTTGAGGTAAAAAACCTTCAGTCTTTACAACCACTTTAAGGAAAAACACTTTTTATTTTTAGGATGGATGTGACTTAAAATACAATTCAACAAATAGTCATCTGAAGTTTATTTTGGAATGATGCTATAATTCATCTAATGGTCTTGGAAAAGACATTAGCATTCTCTAATTAAAGCTCACTGAATTATAATTTTGCATGGCAGCAATAACCAAAGCTCGTCTTGATTTTGATGAGTCGTTTTTACTTACAGTAGATTTTTACTGAAGATTTTAAACGTTTTACAAAAGCAAAGGTAGTATAGTCAGCCATCTTCAATCAAAGCCTACATATCGGTATCAAAGAAATCAAACATAGTCCTGAACCGCACCATATACAAGAAGATCAAGGTCTGCTGATCCCACAACAGGCTCCATCAAGTAAACACAAAGCAATTGAAATATCGGGGAAAGGGTTAGAGCCAGGGAAAACAAGAGAAAGGGGGAAAGAGGTACGGATAGCAGGTCTGGAGAAACAAAGTTGTCATCATTACCAAAACTGATATATGGCACTGATATACGGCACTGATATATGGCAGTTAGGCGGCACTGATGGCACTGTTAGGCGGCACTGACTGGCACTGTTAGGCGGCACTGACTGGCACTGTTAGGCGGCACTAACTGGCACTGATAGGTGGCACTGCACACTGATAGGCGGCACTGACTGGCACTGATAGGCGTCAATGTTTGGCATTGATAGGTGGCACTGACTGGCACTGATGGATGACACTGAAAGGCAGCTCAGATGGGCACTGATATGTGGCATTGATGTGCACTGGTATGCACTGATATGTGGCATTGATGTGGCACTGATAGGCACTGGCATGTGGCACTGATCGGCACCGACAGCTGGCACTGATGGAGTTTGACAGGTGGCAGTGCTGGGACTACACTGATCATCAGGGCACACTGATCATCAGTGCCCTGATGATCAGTGTACATGTCCCCTCCGCGAAAAGCCGATTACCGGCTCTCCTCTCCTCTCGAGCTGTCAGCGTGACAGCTCGAAAGGAGAGAAATGCCGATAACTGGCATTTCCATGTTTATATGTGATCAGCTGTCATTGGACACAGCTGATCACATGGCCAAGCTGAAATCTTTCCGTGATCGGTGATCCGCTGTGTCCAAGGGACACAGCGCACCGCCGATCGCCGTGCGCTCCCTGAGCCGCGCATGCGCGGTGAGAATGGGAGGACGTCATATGACGTCAGAACGAGAGAACCACCTTGCACCCATCATTGGACTATATGGCGGGCGGGAGGTGGTTAAACTTCAAATATTACATGCTTTACAGGTCCATAGTGACTAAATCAAACTACTGTCACCCTCCTGTATAAAAACTAGGTTGCCATAAGCTGGTGGCAATGCAGATCCTTTCTTGTTCAGGCTTGACATACATGAGACCCCTTTTCGGCATCTTGAGGAATAAAAAAACTCCTTTGTTTCTGGTGTGAAACCTTCATTACTTTTTAGTATAATTTTCTTAAGCAATTTAATTAAGGCCATAGAATACTTATGCTATTTTTATCTTTTTAACACACTAGAGAATATTGCTACTTGCTGTAGTATGTCATCTCCTAGATAGAATTGAACAATATTCTGAAAATTAGCTAATTGTGGAATAATATGTACTGTGCCTGTTATGGCCAATATATGTTTTATTTGAGATGCCGTATGTGTCTTGGCACTTTGGCAAATGGAGCTGGTTATAACTCTGCACTCTTGTTAGTTGCTTACATGTGGTGCTGTGCATAGTGTTCTACATTTACTGCTACTCTTTAATCTGTATTATGTTATTTAAGCACCATTTAAATATCCAAGAAATATAGCAACCTGAGTACTAATTTAATTGGTAGTAATAATCAGATTGCTTTTACTGGAACCCTCATGGTATACCTGCTTACATTTCTGAGAACTATAGAAAATACTTGGAATCAAAATGACTGCACTTAGTGTAATCATAGGATACACAATGTGACAGAACCTGGAGATATGACACTTGATATTCAACAATAAGATCAATTATATAAAGAATAACAGCACTATCTAATGCATGCAACCAATTTGAAAGTGACGTGTATTTAAAGTCGAACTCTAACAAAATGACAATATTGCAAAGGTTAAATGCTAATTTTTTGTGGACCTTAAAAATGTTTTTTTCTCTTATCCCTGTCTCCCCCGGGCTTCTTCTTCTTGCCACCAGCCCCTCAAAGCAGTTTTTCTTCGGTGCTCTGCCTGTCAGTTGCAGTCCCGCAATGTAGGTAAAGAGACCGAGTGTCCTCCCACAACACGGAGCGTTGGAGAGAGAGGAAAGTGCCAGTTTCCAGGGGAGTCAGAGTTGCACTGCTTTTTAAGGTACTCGTAGCAAAAACAAGCATTTAACCCTTGCATTGTTGTGGATGCCCCACTGCAAGGGTAATTTTTTAATTTCCCCAGAGCGTTGCTATAAATATCTACACATCTATTGAAAACCCTGCAAAAAGAGAAAATGGACATACATACGCTCCTCAATTCAGTTAACCCAAGTTACTTAAAAATACAACTAAATAGAAATTCTCCCATTAAAAAGAAAAATAAACAGTACATGTGTGGGTAAGTGTCCTGGTAAATAAAAGTAAATCTACAAATACAAGTATATATACTTGGACTGATGAACTAAGGATCATAGTATTTGTGCAACTCTTTCTCAAATCTATCGTTTCAATGAAAAATACACTAAAATTATTTTAGTGCACAAAAACACGATAAAATTGGCTTTTTTAAATTTAAAAAAGTATGATACTCAAAATTGTCCACACACTCTCTGGAAACCTCATTAGCTTAGAGCTTAACCATAAATAACACAGCTAGAATGATTCCTCTTATTCTATAAGACCCCTGATGTCTCCCCTGCCCAAGCAAATAGAGCACAAATTGTGCTCAGTCTGCTATTTTCCCAGCCAGAACCACTGAGGTTTGACTGCTTTGCCTTAGGAAGTGCTCAAAGCTGAGCACATCTGGGTTCACAAGACAGAGGGAGGATCTGTGAATAGATTTCTTCCTCCACTGGCCACACTTAACAATTAGTTCCAGGCCTGGGCTCCAGGAGCTGCAGGAGAGCCCAAGGAATGGTGGGAGTGGGTCGCATATTACCGCCCTGTACAAGTTATTGGGTGGCTTTATACCCTAGATCACTTTTCCATTACATCCGGGAGGCAGCTGCATACTTTTAGTACAACATATTAACATTTGTTTGTGATAGTAGTCCTTTAAGTCATATTGAGATTGATAAACTATAGACAACTGAACCCCAACTACCTTCTCTTTTTTTAGCTAGGGCATGCACAGTAGGACCAAGTCACCTATATAAAAACTAGTCTATGTCACAATGCATCTTTGCATGCAGAGTGGCTCCTTAAGCTTGCTGTTTTTTGCAAACGTCCCAGCAATGTACATTTCCTTCTGACATTGCAGTATCACAGGATGGGATAATGACTGAAGTGTGAAAAGCCTGGTGTGTTAATGGATACTGGAACCACAGTTTGAAAATGCGAGGGATTGCTGTTACCAAATAACTATTTTTTTCCCAAAACTACTTCTAAGAATGCAAAGAGTTCCATTCCAGCACTCTGTAGTATAAACTCCAGGTGAGCAATTCTACAGAACCTTGTTGTGGTTTACATCAAAGGTGATTTTTTGTTTGTGACTGATAGAAGAGTGTGTACAGTTTCAGACAGTTGTAGAAAAAAGACCAAAGTAGTAAAGATGGGTGAGCTCTAGTTGAGACTTGTTTGAAAATACTTTTATTTCAAAAAGGTGTTTTGCTTGGTTAAACAAACACGGTTTTGTCTTGAATTCTAGTTGGGGCATGCATCAAAAGTCCCTTTTGGCTTATAGTCTGCTAAGATGAAATACTAAAGATTTGTATTATTTCAATTACATTAGTGGGCACAATTGACCAAAGTAGTTGCTTAAGGCTTAATTGTGATCCTTTTTCAAACTGGAGACACAGTAGTTCTATTTGTAGAGTAACCCCACTTTTGTTTAAAAAATGATATAACCTGTATAGTTGCTACATAAGTTATTTTAATTTTGTAATTTTGTATTATTAAACATTAGTGTTCTATTTCTGTTGGAAGCCAGCCATTTTTCTTAAACTGCTGAAATATTAAAATGTCACTTTCTTGTACCCTTTGCAACTGAAAGTGTTCTCTACATTGGATGTGTACAAAACATAATTCCTAATTTGATTTGCTCACTGCTTTTCTCAGAAGCTCATCTCTTAATAAATCAATATTTAGAAAAGCTGTAATAACCCCACATAATACACAGTATGTGTTCCCTTTCTCAGTCCTGACAGTGAAATTATCAATTATGTAAATCATATATGCTATCTCTCCTCATCCTGTTTTTATTTTTCACAATTTTTAAGCATCAATTTTGTGCATTGAGCATAGGCTGCTATTACTTACCTAAAAGTGTATCTGCAATGCATACACCTATATTGTACGCTATCCCGACCAAAGCTTTCCTTCAATCTCCCACCCACAAGTCTTATACTCACCCATTCCAAATCCATGAAGATATCATCCTGGAAGTCACTGAGCTGCTTACAAAAATTCCTGAACTGGACCTGTGCATGTACAATAGCTCTTCAGTGATCCAGTGGAGAACATAGGATTGAATAGAGAGTGTGCTGTGTATGGGCGGGCTCAGCTCTTAATATTTTGACAAGTGGCTATGGGATTCCATGGGCAATATCTTTCTGAATAGGGGACAAGTTTAAGACTTGCAGGGGAGACTGGGACCAGAATTTATATGGTGACCAAGAATCGTTCAACTTTCCTGGGGGAGAAGAGACCAGGGATATGTCTACAGAAGACCGATAAAATCATCTCAGCCTAGGCAAGACTCAGTTGTCTGAAGCTCAAAGACTGCTTTTTTTTTTTTTGCCAAATTTTAGTTTTTCCAAATATACATAAAAAAACCCAAAAAAAAAAAACCGAAGGAACACAAGCACTGCTGTGTAATAAAAAAAAAGGTTGTTTTTTTTTAAAAATTATACTGTTGCTGTACGATCTGACATTTATATATACCAAAAAATTCCTCTTTAATAAAAATACACACACCATAAAAAATAGCAGATTTTTAGATCTTTTTTCTAACTTTTGAGTTCAGCGCATCAGGTTTGTACACACATTTCTGAGTGCAAATTTTGTACATTTTCTAGCTTTGTTTACGGCATAGAAAAAAAATGCACAGAATAATTTACTTACTCTGTCATCTCAACCATCATTTAGCAGGAATGCCAAAACTGCTTTTCGGTAAATATTATGACAAAAGCACAAAAGTAATACTTAAATGATAGTTTCTTCTGTAATTTTACAGGATGGCCTATAATAGTATCATCTAACCTATCTGTTTGATTCTACATCAGTGCAGCATAAAAACTTTTGAATGTTGTACTTTTTAAGTAGGGCTATCAGGAATATTGTACTCTTACAAGATTTGCTTCCTGTTCTATTTTCATAATCCTATTAATGCTGCCTTCTTCACACAGCAGATGAGGCCTGCTTATCTGTTTGTACTTGCCAAAAGTATTGCATATCTGCTGTGCACTGCATAGCAAACTGTTTTTCTTCAAGAAGCATCAGAAGAGGCCTGGCACACAATGAATAATTCATGTGTTGACTGCATGGCAGGATTTTGAGTAAAGGATCAGGGACAGTGACAGTCACAATGGTCCTTTCAATAGGAACAGGAAAGGAGGGTTTTGGCTTGTTTCCTTCAATTCTTTAATATTTCAAAGCAAAGGGAGCTGTTTTCATAATTTCAATATTGCTAATTTGGCCTAAAATAAATATAATGCACTCTAGTATAATACTATTGATTGCATTGCAGAATACTGTAATATTATAAATCTAAAACCTACTTTTAATAAGGTGCTGCTTGTTTATGCTTGTTGTTCTGGATGTAAAATGACTAAAGCTAATACTTTGACTCCTGTGCTTTTAATTGATATTCTATACAAAGGTGAATTGTGCTAATGAGACTTTAAG